AGCCAGCGGCAAGCTTCATCTTGCAATAGGGAAAATATTGAATAAAACACTCAAGCATAAAGTATACAAAGTCCTTCAGTGAGCCAACAGCAAGGTTAGAAACTAACAACGCTAAAATCAGGGGCTTAACTCCCAGTGGTGAATAGAGCACAAATAGTTCACTGTGTAGCTTTTTGCTAAAAAATAACAAAAACAAATTTTCTTGAGCTTCGGTGGGACTTTATGTTATGTTGCCAACATGTCTGATGCCTTAGCGGGCTTTCCATGCATTCGGATTTATTGTCGTGTAATGTTTTAGCTCTCTAATAAGACTGCGCTCTTTATCTGCCAATAAAAGCGCTGCACAACAACGAAAAGGAGCACACTGAAACCAAGTATTAGCAAACTTGAACATTTTAAGGATAACAAAAGACCATTTCTCTGAACCAATGGTCTGATAATGTCTTCAGCACGTACACCGAATTTGTTCATTCTAGTTAGACCAATGTCGATAAAACCTCCGAAAGCGTGCTTAATTCAGTGCATCAATATTTACAGAGAATGAACCATTTAGTAGTTCGATACGTGGTTGAATTGTATTATCGCGTACGTTTCCCTCTGAATGTGAAAACGCTATTTGGCTATTTGTTTGCTACGTTTATATATACATAGATACATGCAGATTTAGAATTTGCTGTAAAGTCTACTTAAATTTTATATAAGATGAAAAATAAAGGGGGTAGGAGCTCAAAATTAAGTGTTTATTTCAGTAGTGGTAATGCTTTCGCAACATTAGAGCCGCTTCTCACACAACATCGAAACAATTTCTTAATTATTGTATTAAGAGAGTTTTACATCACGCACATGCTAAAGGAAACCATTTATTGAACGACAAAAATATACTTATAACTTGATAGCGTTAAACATTAATATAATTAACATCAATATAGAGAAAAATATAGGATGAATTCAAATTAGATTAAAGAAATGTATTAATAATACTGATTGTATTTCCTAAAAACAAACTTTTACATATTATTGTTTTCTAAATTCAGTAAAGATTTAAAGTTTTTAATAAAATATACTTCATAAACTAGTCTTTCTTTCTTTACTTTCACCTCAATATACTTCATAAACTAGTCTTTCTTTCTTTACTTTCACCTCAATATACTTCATAAACTAGTCTTTCTTTCTTTACTTTCACCTCAATATACTTCATAAACTAGTCTTTCTTTCTTTACTTTCACCTCAATATACTTCATAAACTAGTCTTTCTTTCTTTACTTTCACCTCTCCCAAATGGGAAACAATATTTGTAAAAAATGTTTTTTTTTAACACTCAACCGAACGGTAGAATGATACTTTTAACATGTGATTTGTGAAGATTTAATCTTAAGATTTTCACTTTGTTTAGGGCCCGGCATGGCCAGTGGGTAAGGCACTCGATTCGCAATCTGTGGGTCGCTGGTTCGAATCCCCGTCACACCATACATGCTCGCCCTTTCAGCCGTAGGGGCGTTATAATGTGACGGCCAATCCCACTATTCGTTGGTAAAAGAGTAGCCCAAGAGTTGGCGGTGGGTGTTGACGACTAGCTGCCTCCCCTCTAGTCTTACACTGCTAAATTAGGGACGGCTAGCGCAGATAGCTCTCGTGTAGCTTTGCGCGAAATTCAAAAACAAACAAACAAAACGCTTTGTTTGATATAAACGTCCGTATACACCGGGCGTAGTACAATATAAATACAGTTTATAGAATTACAGTTGAACGACTACTTAATAGCAAAAATCACATTTTACTCGTCTTTGCTAAACGGAAATATTTTAGCACCACAAGTTATAATTCCCTCTTCTAAGTTTTTCTCATTATTATTATTGTAATCAAATGTATAAGATTTACAAAGTAGTTGTTTTAAATATATTTTGGTCGTATATAAACACTAATGATATTAAAACCATTTAAACATGTTCAATTACTATATTAACAACGCAAATTCTATTACGTCTCCCACTTTGTTAATCTCCGGTAGAGCATTCTGGAAATAAGTTAAAATAAATTGTAATACAGGTTTGAAGTTATTGATCTTTGTTTAGCACGTGAAAGTGCGACATCTATAAGACTCTCTAAGTAATTTCTATCATGTAAAAATATACCTTCAACTGATTTAATATAATATCTTATTTAATGTAATCACTAGCAATTTTTATAATTATTTTAGCCAAATTAAATGGAACATTTATTTTAATATGACGAAGGTAATGTCTAGTAAAATGTAAACAGGAACTGGAATTTCTAACATTGTAACGAATATCTGTTATTAATCCCACTATTCGTTGGTAAAAGAGTAGCCCAAGAGTTGGCGATGGGTGATGATGACTAGCTGCCTTCCCTCTATTCTTACACTGCTAAATTAGGGACGGCTAGCGCAGATAGCCCTCGTGTAGCTTTGCGCTAAATTCAAAACAAACAAACAAATCATTAAGGTGAAAGGTAATTATAAGTTCCGTATTTCTTCATTAAGTTGAAAGGTAATTATAAGTTCCGTATTTCTTCATTAAGTTGAAAGGTAATTATAAGTTCCGTATTTCTTCATTAAGGTGAAAGGTAATTATAAGTTCCGTATTTCTTCATTAAGGTGAAAGGTAATTATAAGTTCCATATTTCTTCATTAAGGTGAAAGGTAATTATAAGTTCCGTATTTCTTCATTAAGTTGAAAGGTAATTATAAGTTCCGTATTTCTTCATTAAGATGAAAGGTAATTATAAGTTCCGTATTTTAATGGTACAGGATCAATTTTTTTTCACGAATTTGTCCATGATATCTTGAAGATCTGATAATAAAAAAACTTCTTCGAAGTTTCCTTAAACATATTTTAAAAAACAGTTGTTGTTTTTTCAAAATCCAACATGTTTGCTCATGTCATCCTTAAGTGGCGATAACGTAGACTTAAAATTTGTTTTAAGGCCCACTTAAACGTCAAAGTGAGATACGTAGATAGGTGGATATGTTAATAAATTAAGTTCGTTTATGGTATTAAACGATTGACCAGTACTAAACCAAAGTTAACTTAAGCTGATACCTTATGTGTTTCTAGGCTAAACGACCTAGTCAGTGAACCTTAGGCTTCAGGCGTAGGCTAAAGAAAATGTTAAATTACTGACCAGTCAGCCAGCAGAATCCGTCGCCATAAAACCCGTGTCCGGCTCGAATAACGGGACTGAATGTTTCAGATAAAAAGTGTAAAGCATCAAGTTTCGAACAGTGGGCCCTACGATCTACAGCTCAACACGTCAACAACTAAGCCAAAACCAGCCAATAATACAATATTTAAATGACGAGCATATTGTACATGGCTATTTATGAATAAATAATTAAATACATTGATATATATATATGTTGTTTAAACTTGCAGTGGTCCACCAAAACTACGAGGTTCAGGTTTATGACGAATTTGTTACAAGGGGGAACACAGCGATTCTCAGATGTTATATTCCTATCTACGTCAGAGACTACGTCATCGTGACAGCATGGGACAGGGATGATGGTATTACTATTGTCTCAAACATAGCAAACGGTAAGTGTACCTCCAAAAAACACGTGTCTAACAGATCTTGTTTTCTGAATGTTTTATATAAGATATCCAAATAGTTGTACAGGACACGCACGCACACACACACACACAGATATATATAAACAAGCTGAAATACCCGTCACATGACGGGGAATGTTTAAACTTAATTAAAACAATGTAAGTTTAACAGCAATCATGTATTTCAAAGTAATTACCTGAACATAATCTTTATCTCAAAATTTTAAAATTATAACAAAGTTTCTTCATAAACAACATTTGCAGTTTGCTTTCCATCTACCAACAAATAAAGATTTTGAGGTGATCCAACCCTTGAACACCCTAAATCTCATTGACCATGAGAAAAGCATGGTTGTTTGAGAAACAATCCAGCAACTTTCATACTTTGACCTTGTATCCCTTCAGAATATTCAACATCGTCAAGAGCATCAACCTGCCAAGATTGTTTGAGATTGACTCAATAGGCTGGGAGTAATTAACCAACAGGCTTTATAAAATAGAAATAGGGTTAAGCTCAATTTTGATCCTCTTAGGGCATTCCCCATAGTTTACAGTGTTTACATACAATTTTTGGTTGAGGTTGGCCCAAAATGATCGGAAGAATTAGGGTGCAAACAAACACACATTTCGTCTTCATATATATATTTGTGTGCGTGTCTGTATGTAAGCTAAATAATATTGTTTTCGTAAATTTGAGTGTGTGTGTACTCATATATAGCTTGAGTATGTGTACTCATATATAACTTGAGTATGTGTACTCATATATAACTTGAGTATGTGTACTCATATATAACTAGAGTATGTGTACTCATATATAACTTGAGTATATGTACTCGTATATAATTTGAGTATGTGTACTCATATATAACTAGAGTATGTGAACTCATATATAACTAGAGTATGTGTACTCATATACAACTAGAGTATGTGTACTCATATATAACTAGAGTATGTGTACTCATATATAACTAGAGTATGTGTACTCATATATAACTTGAGTATATGTACTCGTATATAATTTGAGTA